CAGCAGCTTACAGGATGGCACGTGCATACCCTGCCATTGGTTTGTATTTTTGTTACAAGGTTTATCCATCTCCTCCTTCAGCATAAATGCTCCCTGATTTCAGGGACTTGGTTTCGTGGAGCCAGCCTTGGGAAAATGACTATTATTTTAAAAAGATGCACATATGGCATTGTTTTCTATATAGATGTGATGGGTCCTTGTACTTTTAGGAGTTAAGAGAAGTCTAGTTGACGGATTTTCAGCACTTGATGGATTTTCAGCACTGAATCAGGGATCGATTGGAACACTGTTATTAATATTATTAAGCTACTAGAAGCTCAGTGCACGAAATTCATGCAAGCGGCTCGGCCCCTCGCAGCCCCGGCTTCGTCCGGAAGGTCCTCTGGACGGTCGTTCTGCTGTTCAGTCTAATTAGCACATTAGCTCTTTATTATACAGGATTAGGATAAAAACATTTTTGTTTTTCTTTTTAATCCTCACCTGAGGATGTTCTTTCCATTGATCTTTAAAGAGAGAGTCGGGGGGGGGGGGGAGAGAGAGAGACAGACATTGATGTGAGAGAGACACATTGACTGGTTGCCTTCTGCTTGTGCCCTGACTGGGGCGAGGATTGAACCTACAACCAAGGTATGTGCCCTTGATTGGGAATTGAACCCTCGACCCTTCGGTCTATGGGCCAATGCTCTAACCACTGAGAAAACTGGCCAGGGCTAAATTTTTTTTTTTTTTTACTATCTCCAGCTACGTTGCCATGCCTTCGTCTCTTAGGATCAGATGCTGTTTATAAAGTGCCCATCGAAAGCCTGTTGAATTGCCTGTTGAAGCAATTAGGCTTGCTTGAGCTTAGTTTTAAAATCTGCCAAATTTCAAGTTCTCTTCAAATCCAGTTGTAAGCATAATTACTGTTTGAGGCAGATAATAATACAGATTTATCCCTACAGCACGGGTTGTCTTGCGTCATATCTTTTCAGTGATGGCATTCTGATTTGGGCTTGGTTTCAAATTCTGCTAATTTTCAAGTTCTGACGAAATTCAATCGTAAGCATAATTAATATCTTAGATAATAACATAGATTTATTCCTACAGCTTTGAGTATCTTGAGTTATATCTTTTCAAGGCCTGCCTTATACAGACTGATTGAAAACTGATCTCTCAGTATGAATTTTCACGGTTTCTTTTTATAAAAAAAATATTTTTATTGATTTCACAAAAGAAGGGAGAGGGAGAGAGAGATAGAAACATCCATGATGAGAGAGAATCATGGATCGGCTGCCTCCTGCACGCCCCACACTGGGGATCCAGCCCACAACCCTAGCATGTGCCCTGACTGGGAATCGAACCGTGACCTCCTGGTTCATAGGTTGATGCTCAACCACTGAGCCACGCCGGCTGGGCCCGTCAAGTAGTTACTGATTGAGTACTGTCACCCAAGAAGCTGGTGCCTTTAGCGTCCAGAGTGTGGCATCTGCCTAACTCTAACCCTGATCAAACCCCCTTAACGTGACCAACCTACATCCATCTTCTCTTCCAGTCCAACTGTTAGGAAGTCATCTTGTCTGTGGCCTCCCTGTCTGCCTTTCCCCCTCCCTTTTGGACCGATTTCAGTCAGATTCTCTAGCCCCTAAAGCCACCGGAACAGGTCATACCGAGATCACCCATCATCTCTGTTGCACCACACTGGTGGGCTCAGGACTGAGGGCAGCTAACCTGCAAACTTGTCATGTTCTTGACCACTTCCTTTACAGAACGCCCTTCCTTTGTCTTGTTTTATTTGTCTTAAGGTGACACCACGCTTCTCCCACCCGCTCTCCAGCTGTGTTAGTTATTTTTAAAATTTTTTAGTCTCCTTTGCGAGTTGATCCTACGTGAGCAGACTGTGAGGTGCCGGAGTTCCTTCAAGCTCATTCCTGTCTCTTCAGTTTTATGCGCTTCTCGGCATTTCCACGCCCCCCGTTAGCGTCTGAATGCCAGTCCCGTCTCTGCAAAGTCTATCTCTAGACCCCACCTCCCTCTCAGCTCCGCTGTCATGTGCCCAGCTGCCAACGCGGCTTCTCCACTTGAACTTCCCCAACACAGAGAAGCCAGCGCTGAGCTCAGAATAGCCCTTTAAGTCGGGCGTCTGAGCAAATGGTCCTACTGCTCGTCAGTGGAGCTGGGCTCAATCCGGACACTTCCCTCTCTCTCACTTTCCTCACTGAGTTCTGGCAACTCAACACCGTGGCTGTGTCTCAGACCTGTCCTCTTTACTGATCGAACAGGGAGGAAGCTGAAGAACATAGATCTAATCAATACAGTCAATCAGTTTCAATTAATTGACATGCACAGAGCCCAGCGGCTGCAGAAGTAACTGTAAGCTGTGCCAGAAAAAAGGCCTCCAACTGCAGAGGAATGAAAACATAGGGATTTTCCCTCCCTGACTTAATTCTTAGGAGCTAAGTTAGAAGTCAAAACATGAACATAACTAGAAAATCCGTTATGTTTGGGAAATTAAGCACTACAAACAAACATCCTGTATGCCCCATAGAACTCAAATGAAATGTAGGAAATATATATTCTTTAAAATATATTTTTGTTGATTTCAGAGTGCAAGGGAGAGGGAAAGGGAGAGAGATAGAAACATCAATGATGAGAGAGAATCCTGGATCGGCCGCCTCCTGCACGCCCCCTGCTGGGGATCGAGCCCACAACCCGGGCATGTGCCCTTGACTGGGAATTGAACCATGACTTCTTAGTTCGTAGGTTGATGTTCAACCACTGAGCCACACCATCCAGGTGGAAATATTTTTAAAAAATATATATCTTTATTGATATCAGAAAGGAAGGGAGAAGGAAAGAGAGATAGAAACATCAATGATGAGAGAGAATCATTGATCAGCTGCCTCCTGCACACTCCCCACTGGGGATTGAGCCCGCAACCCGGGCATCTGCCCTTTCACTGGAATCGAACCCTGGACCCTTCCGTCCGCAGGCTGACACTCTCTCCACTGAACCAAACCAGCTAGGGCAAGGTGGAAAGATTTTTAACTAAATGGTAATGAAAATACGACATATCAAAAGTTGTAAACACACTTAGTACTTAGAGGGAAATTTATAGTATTAAATTCATAAATGAGAAAATAATACTGTCTGACCATCAGTATCTAATTCTCCATGTCAAGAATTTTAAAAAAGAATAGCCAATTAACGCCAAGAATATAGAAACAAATGGTAAAAATGAGAACATAAATCAATAAATAAAATCATAGGAATCTGTGTCACTGAAGAAGTCCAGTGCACATTACTTAAGCCGGTTCTCAACCTGTGGGTCGCGACCCCTTCGGGGGTCGAACGGCCCTTTCACAGGGGTCGCCTAAGACCATCGGAAAACACATATATCATTACATACTGTTTTTGTGATGAATCACTATGCTTTAATTATGTTCCATTTGAAACCATGAAAATACATCCTGCATATCAGATATTTACATGACGATTCATAACAGCAGCAGCATGACAGTGATGAAGTAGCCACGAAAATAATTTTATGGTTGGGGGTCACCACAGCATGAGGAACTGTATGAAAGGGTCGCGGCATTAGGAAGGTTGAGAACCACTGGCTTAAGCTGTTGTTATTTCCTGACCCCTCCCCTTTTCTTGAGTTTCTTGCTCAGATGGTGGTTGTGGTTCACATTCCCTCAGAAACGTGGGCTGATATTGAAAAGATTTCTCCTTCTCCCGTTTGGCCTATTGCGAGCAGCCAGCTGGGAGGATGTCTGGGGGAGAACCATACGGATTGAAACTCCCATTAGGTGCCGTGGCTTGGGACCGCTTCCTGTAGAGACCTCCTTCCGCCCTCAGTGGTTTGAAGAAGTGGATTGCTTACTGTCCCTCCATAAATGAAAACCGGTAGCATAGGTTTCTTGTTCTGTAGAGACATTCTGCTTCTAGTGCTGATGGGTGAGGAGAGTAGAGAACCCTTTTATACACTGTTGGTGGGAATATAAATTGGTATAGTTATTAGGGAAAACAGTAAGGGATTTCCTTAAAATATTAACAGCTAGCCCTAGCCGGTTTGGCTCAGTGGAGAGAGCATCAGCCTGTGGACCAAAGGGTCCCGGGTTCGATCCTGGTCAAGGGCATGTACCTTTGTTGCAGGCTCATCCCTGGCCCGGGCCATAGTCGGGGTTTGTACAGGAGGCAACTAATCCATGTGTTTCTTTCACATCAGTATTTCTCCTTGTCTTTCCCTCTAGCTTCCACGTTCTCTAAAAATCAATGGAAAAATATCCTTAGGTGAGGATTAAAAAAAAGTTAAAAAATAACAAATTAAAAGTATATATACCGTATAATCCAGCTCCCCTTTTACTGAGTTTTTATCCAAAGGAAATGAGCTCAGTATCTCGAAGTGATATCTGCACTCCCTTGTCCATTGCAGCTTTATGCACAGTAGTCAAAATGCAGAAACAACTTCAGTGTCCATCGAGGGATGAATGGATAAAGACAATGTGTTACAAATACTGGGCAGGAAAAGTAGGTTTATAGTTGTTCGTAGGGAGAAGAATACAATAATTAATAGTAATACAAGACTAAATTCTGTTTTGCGTACTCACAACTGTAAGCCTACTTTTGCCCTCCCCTATATATACAGTGGAATAGTATATACCCATGAAAAAGAAGGGAACTCTTCCATTTGCAACAGAATGTATGAACCTGGAGGGCATTATGCTGAGTGAAATAAGCCATCTTTCTATGAAACATTTATATGTATGTGTGTGTTTCAACCTAATCATTTCATTCATTGCTTTGACTTTTCTGTAACTTCTTCAATTTAAAAAAAAAATCTTTAAAAATTCAGTTCTCTAAGCTTTTCCTGCTCTCTGTAGATGTGACCAATCAGATGTTTCTTCCATCTCAATCACTTACCGGAAAGGGTACCATTTTTGAGTCACCTTTCCCATTTTCCTGGGCCCTGACGCCATAGAGACATTTCATGTCCCTTCTCCTTATGTTCTGTTTTCTAGGTGCCACTGAGCTCTGCAGGGGAGGCGGCCTCTTTCACGGAGCCACTTCCGGGGTCTTCATGCAGCCATGGATCTGGATAAACCCTCCGTCTGGGGCTCCTTCAAACAGCGGACCAGGCCTTTGCTGCTCAACCTGAGCAAAAAGAAGGTGAAGAAGCACCCCGACAAACCCCCAGACTTAGGGGAGCGGCATTGCCTGGATCGCCGCCTCAGCCTCTCGGTCCCTGACCTCCTGGGGGCCCAGTCGTCCTACACCTCCGTGCCCAGCAGCCTGTCCACGGCAGGGATCGTGTCCAAGAGCTGCAGCAGCTCCTTGAAACAGTCGGAAGAAGAGCTGGACTGGAGCCAGGAAGAGGCAGGCCACCTGCACGCGGCGGATACGGACTCTGAGGAGACCTTCGCCTCGCCGGCCGCGGACAGGAGGGCTTCCAGCAATGGCCTCTTTGATCTGCTCCAGAAGGCGCCCCCGGGAGAGAATGCTCTGGAGGATCCAGAGGTGAGGCTGGGCCAGCACCATCTGTCCCATTGCTTTTTTCCTTCTTATTTATCTACTAGAGGCTCAGTGCACAAAATTCGTGCACAGGTAGGGTCCCTTAGTGGCTGCCGGCTGCTGGTCAGGGCCTTCCTTCGTCCCCCGCCGCCCCCTGGTGGTCAGTGCACATCATAGTGAGTGATGGAACTCCCAGTTGGTTGGAATACGGAGGGGACACTTTGCATGTTAGGCTTTTATATAGAGAGCTATTTATTTAATTTTTAAAAATATTTTTATTGGTTTCTGAGAGGAAGGGAGAGGGGGAGAGAGAGAGAGAGAAGCATCAGTGATGAGAGAGAATCACTGATAGGCTGCCTCCTGCACGCCCCCTACTGGGGATGGAGCCCGCAACCTGGGCATGTGCCCTGACTGGGAATCGAACCGTGACCTCCTGGTTCACAAGTCAATGCTCAGCCACAGAGCCATGCCAGCCAGGCTATTTTTATGTTTAATTTAATCAATTTATTTATCTAGTTTTATATTTGTTTATTTGTCAATTTATCTTTCTTGGTGAAAGTATTACATATGTCCCCTGATTCCCCCCAGTAACCCCTTCTAGCCTGCCCCCGCCCCCACGCCCTGCCCAGGCCCTCACCACACAATGATCTGTGTGCTTTTTTCATCTTTCTCATTGCACCGAGTGCCCTTGGTGGAAAACCAGATGAAGAATTATTTCCGTGGTTAGCTTGGATGGAGACAGTGTCATTTACAAGAATTTAAATGATCGGTGTATTGATCGCACCAAGTGTTCCCATCAGTTTTGGGGTTGACCTCTGTGTATTTTGAAACTATTACAAAAACCCTTTCTCGGACACTTTAAGGCATTAAAAGCCCTATTGGATGAGTTTTCCTTTTTTTTCCATCTCCTGGCAAAGTAAGAGCATCACTCTTCCTCTAAATTTGCTAAGTGTGTGTCTGTCTGTCTCTCTCTCTCTCTCCCCCCACCATTGCCTAGTCCTAATGTAGATAAAACATGCATATTACTGCTCCTAGAAATGTATAGATGTATGTTTCCCCTTGACTTCCAAGGAGTTTGAATTCTGTTCTATTTCATACATGTACATGCATGTGTGTGTGTGTGTGTGTGTGTGTGTGTGTGTGTGTGTATGTTGTGTGCACTTACCTGTGGGCAACTTCACCTGCATTCTCTAAAAAAAAAAAACACAAAAAAAATCCAACGGAAACAAATGCTTACCAATAGAGTGATTTTACAAAGCCTCAGTATTTCAATCAGCTAAAACAGCCAAATAGAATTATGAGGCAAATCTTACATTTCTCAGAAGAGTTTAATGTAAGTATAATCACCAGATTATTCAGTCATGGTTTGATGATCTCTTTAATCAGATTTTGAAAAATTCCTCCATTAAAGGCACCGATGTAGGTTGCAGTGTTGAGGAAAGGGGTTAAATTTTCTCTATTCCAGGTCATTGTGATAACTGCATAGAAAGCTGGTTATTCCACTGGGATTTTTGATTTTACTTTTGGAACCAAAGCCTATTAATTATGTCATATTTCCCTTTATGTTATTTTATTAATATTATTCTTTTATCCTCACCAGAGGATATTTTCCCCATTGACTGAGAGAGTGGGAGGGAAGATGGGGAAGAGAGAGAGAGAGAGAGAGAGAGAGAGAGAGAGAGAGAGAGAGAGAAACATGGATGTGAGCGAGGCACATCGATTGGTTGCCTCCTGCACACACTCCCACCAGGGCCTGGTAACGAACCTGCAACCCAGCTTCATGCCCTTGAATGGAACCCGTGACCCTTCCTGCACAGTCGGGTGCTCTAACCACCAAGCAACACCAGCCAGGGCCATATATTTCACTTTCATTGGGGAATGGCATCGTGGCTCTTCAGAGGATGTTGTGGTTTGATTCACTTGGAAGCGTTACTATATTAAGACACCACTACCCATTAAATGACTTCACTTAACTCTTTTTTTCATTGCCATCAACACTTATGAAATCCTTTCTGTAACAATTTTATGCTTGTTACTGTACCTATACATTGGAAATACGTGTTTCCACTAATCAAAATGGAAATTAAGTGAATTATTAAACTAGGTCAGTAGGAAGGAGGTAACAGGTTGAATAATGGACCTACGTGCATCTTGGCTTCTTGTTACGTTTGATTTAACTAGAGGCCCAGTGCACGTAATTTGTGCACCGGTAGGGTTCCTAGTGGCTGCCGGCTGCTGGCCAGGGCCTCCCTTCCCCCGGCTGCCGGACGTGCCCCTCCGCTCCCCCGGGTTGAACTCCCAGTTGAGGAGAAAATTTTCATATTAGGCTTTTATTATATAGGATGGGCTTCTTGGCTTAGATATATTAACAACCTCCAATTGGAATCCACAGCTGGTGATCCAAACAAAGTTGGTTATCAAAAGAAGTCATTATTTTTCTGTGTCCACTGTGCCCTTTTAAAAGCAGGGAAAGCCGGGCCGGTGTAGCTCAGTGGTTGAGCGTCAACTTACCCACCAAGAGGTTGCCAGTTTGATTCCTGGTCAGGGCACATGCTCAGGTTGGGGGCTGATCCCCAGTGCAGGGGGCAGCGTGCAGGAGTCTATCTCTTTCTCTCTCTCCCTTCCTCCTCTTTCTCTAAAATCAGTAAAAATAATAATAATAATAATAATAAAAGCAGGGATAATGATAGTGTTTGAATGGGCATTTCATCATGATCAATAACTAATAATCATGAACGGAAAGATCACTGCCTCTCCATCGTCCCCATGCCATCTCCCCATGGGGCACGTCCTCCCCTCATGTTTTACTTGCAGTCAGAGTTTTAAACGACTAGCTTTCGCTCTCGCTTCTGTGGATGAGTTGAGCGGTTGAGAAAAGAGCCCTAGTGGGATATTTCTAGAAGCTGCTTGGCAACCACCGAGCTTCAGTTCAGTGACCACAGAGACGCAGAATGACAAACCACAGAGGAGAGGCAGCCTGCAGCGCGCGGAATGAGACAGGCGCGTCCTTCGCTCCCCACGTCAATCACGTGTTCTTTGACTATTTTTGTTCCAGCTCAGAAATCATGACTCAACTTCATGGTGTTCCTGCCACAGGCGTGTCAGCCGTACCCCACGTCCCCTCCTCGGAGCACCTGGCCTCTTTTTCCTGCTCCCCTCCCTCCTTCCCAGCTACTGAGCACCTACTATGTGCTGATCCTGGGAACACGGCCATCAACAGAGCAGACAAAAACCCACTTCTTCATGAAGACCCTATTCTGAAAGGTGGCAGGCTACAGATATTTTCAGAGCAATCAATTCAATGGAGAAAAATAAGGCAGGAAAGGAGATTGGGGGTGCTGGGGCAGAGGTTTTCAGTTTTTAAAGAATATATATTTTATTGATTTTTTTTAAGAGAGGAAGGGAGAGGGATAGAGAGTTAGAAACATCGATGAGAGAGAAACATCGATCAGCTGCCTCCTGCACACCCTCCCTACCGGGGATGTGCCCGCAACCAAGGTACATGCCCTTGACCGGAATCGAACCTGGGACCCTTCAGTCCGCAGGCCGGCGCTCTATCCACCGAGCCAAACCAGCCAGGGCGAGGTGTTCAGTTTTTAACAGAACAGCTGGGAAAGGCCGCTTCTGAGATGTAACATTTAAGAAAAGAACTGCCCAGCCCTCAGGGCTCAGTGGTTGAGCGTTGACCTAGGAACCAGGAGGTCACGTTTCTGTTCCCGGTCAGGGCACATGCCCGGGTTGTGGATCCATCCCCAGGACGGGGCGTGCAGGAGGCAACTGATCCATGATTCTCTCTCATCATTGGTGTTTCTCTCTCTCTCCCTCTCCCTTCCTCTCTGAGATCAATAAAAATGTATTAAAAAAAAATGAACATGAGTTTCCTGCTTTTTGGTTGTACAGGTGCCAGACCCAAGAGGGTCTGTTCTGGGGAAGGTCTTTCCCTTCCCATTTTGAAATGTTTTCTACCTAATTAGGGAGCTTGGCTCTCGGGTTCCTGCGCTGCCCGCTCCCCCTGATGGCTGGGGGCTGGACTTGCCCACCTTGGGCGGGACCCGGGAGAATGGCCCTGTTGCTGGAGGGATGGGCGAGCGGCCAGTGGGAAAGCAGATTGGGCCGTATCTCCGCTCTGATCAATGACTAAGAGGGCAGAGGCCCCAGCCAGGGGACTTCACTGAGTCACTCTGGACTTGCCAGGCAGGGAGGCAGCCCACACACCTGAAACCGGGCATGCAAATGGCAGATTCCCAAGGGAAGGACCTGACATAGGATTTCCTTGTGGGTTGGTATTCTTTTGCATTTTATTTTATTTTATATTTTATTTTGTTTAATTTATTTAATTTTATTTTATCTATTTAATTTAATTTTATTATTTTATTTTATTTTACTTATTTATGTATTTTTATTATTTTATTTTATTTATTATTTTATTTTATTATTTTATTTTATTTATTTTATTATTTTATTTTATTTTATTTTATTTATTTTATTATTTTATTTTTATTTTATTTTATTATATTTTATTATTTTATCTTATTTTATTATTTTATTTTATTTATTTTATTTTATTATTTTATTTTATTTTATTTTATTTCATTTTATTTTATTTTATTTTAAAGCAGGGTTATCTTTTCTTTTTATTGACAGAAGCTCTGTGGAAGTGGTGATCTCAATGCGTCTACAACGTCCCAGCAGTTTGAAGAACAGTCTGTGAGTGACATTCCTTTAGAACCAATAAACGCGACACGTCCCCGTTATCCATGTTTCTTACTGCATGTTCGGGTCTGCATTGCTTGGCCTCATTTCTTTTTAACGAATGCTCCACGGTATTCCCTTACAAAGACGGGCCTTACAGATGATAGCTGGAAGAGATTAATCCAGTGTCTATTGATTTGCGAGCCTGGGATAGATTCTTCTAAAAATACAGAGAAGCTATGAAATCGGGTGATACAGAACAGGAGACAAAAGCCATTTTCAAAGTGCTTTGAAGCAGGGGTGGGGACACTTTCCAAAGAAGACCGACCGGCAAGGGCCTTAGCCACAGGATCGATGAAGTTGAAGGTCAAATAGGTGAACAATAAGTTATTGCATCTGCCCTCTCTCTTTGGAATGGCAGACATTTGAACTAGTGCACACCTCACGTTCCAAACTTTAATGGCATCCACCGAATAAATATTCAAAACTAGACTGGACTTGGACATGGTGGCCTGGAAGGGTCGATGCATCCAATCCCAGAGAGGGGAGTGAACAGTGTTGTGGGGAGGTGAGACTGTGAGGCTGAGTGGGAGAGACGCCATAGTGGGGGTCAGGGAATGAAAGAAAAGCATGTAAAAGACGGGGCGGGGGGGCACTGGACAGAGACCGTGTGTCCCATGTGGACACAGACGAGGACCACATGTCGGATGGACGGGCAGGCTCAGTGGGTTGTCAGCCGAGTGGTTAGGTACCGAAATGATTTTCTTTTTATTAATATGTTTTTATTGATTTCAGAGAGGAAGAGAGAGAGGGAGAGAGAGATAGAAACATCAATGGTGAGAGAGAATCATTGATCGGCTGCCTCCTGCACGCTCCACCCTGGAAATTGAGCCCCCAACCTGGGCATGTGCGCTTGAATGGAATTGAACCCAGGACCCTTCAGTCCGCAGGCCGACGCTCTACCCACTGAGCCACACCAGCTAGGGCATAGCCTCACTTCTGAGTGCTCTTTCCTCTCTTGGGCTTCCCTGTGAGTGACTGAATAAAGCACCCGGCCCTCAGTGAATGACGGGAAGGGTGATCCAGATGCCACTGATCTCATTCTTCTCAGACAGTTAACGTTGTGAGGATGTTACCATGGCTGCCTCTGACTTCTGACGGAATCCCACTGGGGAGAAACATAGAGAACATGTTAACCAAGCAAGTGTTACCAAGTTCTCAAAGTGAGTGGGAGCTGACTCTTTTTTTTTAAAGAAGTGATTTTATTATTATTTTTTTAATTATTATTTTTATTGATTTCAGAGAGGAAGGGAGAGGGAGAGAGAGAGAGAGAGAAACATCAGCAATCAGAGAGCGTCATCGATCGGCTGCCTCCTGCACACCCCACACTGGGGATCGAGCCCGCAACCCAGGCATGTGCCCTGACTGGGAATCGAACCCTGACCTCCTGGTCCATAGGTCGACGCTCAACCACTGAGTCCCGCTGGGGGCCCGGTGGGAGCTCAATCTTGAACACTGGCCATTGGAGTGACCATTTCCCCCTGTTACAATTAGGAGTGTTTCGGAAATTCTCTCCCCAGACCACTGACCTTACTTCTCCACCTCTGCAGACCCTCGGGGAAGCCAGTGACGGCGTGAGCAACCTGCCCAGCCCCTTCGCCTACCTCCTCACCATCCACCTGAAGGAGGGCCGGAACCTGGTCATCCGGGACCGCTGCGGTAAGGCCCCGTGTTCCTCTTTGTAGCCTTTTTCTCTCCACCCTTGTGTCAATGTGGTTAGCCAACCTTTTTCTTTAAACTTTTTAAAATTGATTTCAGAGAGGAGGGGAGAGGAAGAGACAGAAACATTAATGACGAGAGAGAATCATGGATCGGTTGCCTCCTGCACACCCCCTACTGGGGATCAAGCCCACCACCCCAGACATGTGCCCTGACTGGGAATCGAACCGTGACCTCCTGGTGCATAGGTCGATGGCTCAACCACTCAGCCATGCCGGCGGCCGGACAGGCGGCCAGCCCTTTCTATCTCAGCATGGTTTGCAACACACAGGGCCTCAAATCTAAGCCTCCTCAGGAACCAAGGCATTTGCAGCAAATTATGTAAACATATTGAACCTTTTTATCCTTTGTTAGTAGCAAATTAGGAATAATCTATATATATAAAAAGCCCATGGCCCCAACGTCATAATGAACAAAGACCGACGTAGGTGGGCGGGGCTGTGAGCGGGGCGAGCTGTGTGTGGCTGGGTGGGGGCGTGCGATTTTGCGAGCTGGGCTTCTAGTGATAATGATAATCACCACCATATACTTACAGTTGTTTGAATTGAACTAAGCTCACTGTAATGGCTTGATGCCCAGCCTATAGCAGCCACACAAGAAAGTGTTCCCTTGGTCCTACTTCAATTATCCGTGAGAAAGATGTGAATAATTCTTATTATAAAGTTATCCAACATGCAGGTAGATGGCAGTGCCACTTCCTGCCCCCAAATCCTTGACCTCACAGTAATACTGACCTACCCTATTGGCCACTGGGACTGTGTCTCAGAGTGGGTGGCGCACATGCCAACAGCCCTGTTTTCCAGGCCTCTTGTTCTGGGAAAGATGCTCAGCTCCCCGTAAATCCTAGAGCACTAATTCCTGGAGAATGAGCCCTTGCATTAGAGCCCTATGTGTTCCCTTATTGTTAAGGCGGGTATTGAGCAGCTTCCTACTGTGGACTCATGGAAGGCTGGGTTGCTGGTGCCCTCTGGTGGCCACACTGCAGTATTGCAAAAGGGAAAGCGAAGTTCTTTGGAAGGCGTTCAATGTGACCTGACCAGGGCCAGAAACATCACCTGGCTGTAGGCGGGAAGGTTGAGGGTCCATGTGAGTTTTAGGTGATGGAGATTCGGGACCATGCTTCCAGCAGCCTGTTCTTCCTCTCTGTTCCCGGCACAGGTAGAGTTGAGTGTTGTTTCTAGAACACCTTCCAGGAAGAATACATGGGCAGGAAAAAAATCATTTTCCTGTTTGGTGTAGACCAGGGGTGGGGAATGTCCGGCCTGCGGGCCTTGGCCCGCGAAATCATTTCGTCGGGGAATGATGGGCGGCAGGTAAGGGTCATAGGTGCTGGACACAGACCACCCAGGTGTGAATACCAGCTTGGATACCAGGTAGCAATGACTGAGGACTCACCTGGAGTGTGCGTGCTTGTGGGGACTTGTGAGGATGTGTGTGGGGTCTGGGGTCACATGGTAATCTATATATATAAGAGCTTAAATGACCCTAACGACCGAACGACTGAACAACCAGTCACAATGATGTGCACTGACCACCAGGGGGCAGACGCTCAATGCAGGAGCTGCCTCCTAGTGGTCAGTGCGCTCCCACAGCCAGCCTCCTGCGGCCCCTCCCCCTGGCCGGCCAACCTCCCACGGCCCCTCACCCCAGCCAGCCTGTGGCCCTGATCGCTGGCCAGACCAAGGGACCCCACCCTTGCACGAATTCGTGCACCAGGCCTCTAGTATACAATGAGTTTGTTTATGCATTTTTTGTTGCTAAAATCTTTTCGAGTCTTACATTCTGTTCTAAAGAGTTTCTCTCTTTGTTTTTGTACCTAGAAAGGCGCTGTGTGTCTCGAGAGAGAGGCACATTAACCTAGTATTTATTCTCTTTTCTGCACGGTTTGACAGTTTTCGTTTATCGCTTTGATCTGCTCGAAGTTTATTTTGATTTCTGGCCCAGCGTGGGGACTTAGTTTTACTTTTTTTTGCCAAATGGCTATTTAATTAACTAGGACTAAACTTTCCTTTCCCCAGTGATTCGATTGCCACTTTTTAATTGCACATTAAAATGCAATACTTACTAGGGTTTCTCTTTGATTCCCACGGGTGTGCTGTTTTGTTCAGGTGCCAACACCACACCACAGTTTAATTGTATAGAAAGGTAATTTTGCAAAAAATCTGGGGTTCGCTTCACCTGGGAGTACCTTCTCTGAACACCAGGTGGCGTGAGACCACTGGGTGCTGTGAGGGAGCGACCCAACCACAGCTGGCCAGCATCTCTGAAAGACGGTCATTCCAGAGCAAACCTGAAGCTTTCAGAGATGCAGACGCTCCCCCTGAAGCTCAGGTGGGGGTGGGCTCTCCTCCACGCGTTGAGTTCGGTAGCCTGCTCAGGCGCACAGCACGCGAGGGGAGCTGGCATTTGAAACCTGTTTCTCTCTATTCCCTTCCCACGTTGGTACCGATCACCGCCCATCGGCCATGTCTGTCCTCACAGCCTTCAGCGTGTCCCCAAACCAAGGTCTTTCCTCGGGAGATGTTTGTGGTTGGGCTTTGCTTTGGGACTGTGCATCCTGGTGGGTTGATGAGAAGATCTTGAAGCTTTCTTGCTGTCTAGACCAGCAGTCGCCAACCGGTGGTCCGCGGTCAGTAACAAAGTCTCTGTTCCTGAAGGGAAGGCAAAGTAGGTTCGATTCTAGCCGATTTCCACACCAGGTGGCACCCCTGACATGACATGAAGGGGACATGGCCGGCCTGGGCTCTCCCTTGGCCGTGTTCTGCACGTGGTGGCTGCTGCTTCTAGGAGCTCCTCTGCACTCACAGTGATATAAAAGGATCTCTCCGTTCCAGTCTGCAGGCCGCGCTCTCCGTTTTGCCATCCTGGTTGAAATATTCTAGAACTTTCTTCCGGAGTACAACTGACTGCGCCCCCCCCTCCCCAGATGGACCCACCATGTGTAGAACCCCAAAGGCACCTTGAACAAGCCCTGCCCACGGGTGGACCCTGTAATGTAATAATTTTTGAGTAATTGACCAAAACCCAATTTCTGAAAGAAGCTCTGGAAAATTCTTTATATATGTATATATGGTGTCCCAAAATTCACGCAAGAAGTAATTTTGATAGAAAACACAGCTTTATAATTAAAAATTGTAAATTTTTTTATTGATTCATACAGTATACAGTATAGGGTTATGGATGGAATAGCACATCAGGTAAATGGCCTCCACGGCTTTGCTGGCACATACGCAAAGCCGTGGTCTTCATTGGTCTTTATTGTCCCTGCTCCTGGGTCATCATTGGTACTTGGTAATGCTTATCAAATTGAAGGGGTTGAAATCAAAGGGCAACAGATATTAGAATCTGATTCAATAAACCAAGTAAAATTAGGCTTTTATTTTTGTTGTTGTTGTTGTTAATGCTCATGCAAAATTCAAATCTTGTGTGAATTTTGGGAATATATATATATATATATATATATATATATATATTCATTCATTTCAGAGAGGAAGAGAGAGGGAGAGAGATTTTGCTCGACAAAGAAAAACAGAGTTTCTTCTTCCCCATGTGACCCAGGAGAAGTTCCCTCTCAATTTCCAGAATGCCCTCTGTGGTTTCTGTAGGGGTCCGTCCATTTAGAATGAGGCAGGCACTTGGCCGCTGTGCGGGCTGGAACTTACTGCTTCAGCCACTAGAGGGCAGCAGCAGCTGCTCAAAAAATCTCCAGATGAGAACAAGACGGGTCAAATAATATGGTTCCTGATGACTCCTGAGGATGGATTTGAGTTGTCGTGTGTCCTTCTCGCTGAGCTGCCTGTTACTTTCATCCAGTTTAAGTGGCAAAGTGCTCGGGAATCCTCAGTGCGTCACCGTAGGCTTGGAGTAGGGTGGTGGCCAAGGGTTATGAATACTTAGTGATTGTCAGATGTGCTTTTTTTTCTTAAAGATTTTTATTGATTTCAGAGAGGAAGGGAGGAGGGGAGAGAGAGAGGTAGAAACATCCATGATGAGAGAGAATCATGGATCGGCTGCCTCCTGCATGCCCCCCACTGGGGACCGAGCCCACAACCCCGGCATGTGCCCTTGACCGGAATCGAACCTGGAACCCTTCATTCTGCAGGCTGATGCTCTACCCACTGAGCCGAACCAGCTAGGGCTGGTTTTCAGTTTTTTGTACTCGTTCAATAGAAACTTATCTGGCCACTGGGTAAAGCTAGCAATGAAACTACTGGTCCGCTATGTGTTAAGTTGCCAAAGGTGATACAATCACTAAAAGGGAGGTCTGGGGTTTACATCCACCATTCCCATCTTCATTCAGAGTTCATCCATTCACGCGTCACCTATCTGTGACATCCACCATGCATAGCAGGCAATTCTGGGCATAAGATTTACCTTCCAGAGCTTTGAATCAGAGAAGTTTAATATTATGTTCATAGATGGTCCCAGCCAAACATTTTCGATGTTAAAATAACTTTATGAGAGCCCTAGCCGGTTAGGCTCAGTGGATAGAGCAGTGGCCTGCGGACTGAAGGGTCCCAGGTTTGATTCTGATCAAGGGCAAGTACGTCGGTTGCAGGACCCTCCCCGGCCTGGGCCCCGGTCGGGGCGCCTGCAGGAGGCAACCCATCCATGTGTTCCTCTCACATCCATGTTTCTCTCTATCTTTCCCTCTCGCTTCCACTCTCCCTAAAAATCATTGGAAAAATATCCTCGCGTGAGGATTAGAAATGATAATAATAATAATAATTTTATGAGATACAGAGTAGAAAAGTTCTCAGCTTTTGTTGTTGTGACTGTCTGTCTTCAATGCAGCTCTTGCAGAGTTGAATGTCTTAGTCTGTGATGCGAAGCTCTAAGTGAGAAAATGGTCAAGAGCCTTTCCCAGTGGTTTTGGGGACGTCACCCTCTCCCTCCACGAAGGAGCATGTCTCGAGGTGAACATTCCATGTGAAACTCCGGGTTCTCCCATCTGGGGCCTGGAGCCCCTTTCTTCCACGTGCTCCGTGTCCCGGTGCTGTGTTCTCTCAACTCCCAGGTTCCCCTGCTGCCGCCAGTTTCTTCTGCCTTCTGCGTTATAAGCTGCTGCCAGATTTATATCTCTGCAGCTTGGTGCTGATCACTTTCCTCTCCTGCTCATCAGCAAACCTGAATTCCCTTCCCTCCTCACACTCAAGTCATTCCAGATGGACCGAAGGCTTATGTGTAAAAAACAAAGAAAGAAAAACTACAAAATCAGTGGAAGAAACATGGTGGAACTCATTTAAAATCTCGTAGAGAAAATTGCTTCTAAGCAGAATGTCAAACTACAGTGCCGTAAATTTGGCCAAAATTTGACCAAGTAAAAATGAAAATTACTTATTGCAAGAAGTCACGTAAAGTTAAACAGAGTATGACGTGATCTCTAGAGCCGATGGCTGATTTCCATAATGAAGGACCCATTCAAATTCATAAGCAAATCGTGAACCGTACACCCGTAGGGAAAGGGGCAGGGGATCTGAACAAGAATTTTCCTGACCAAGAACTAGAAATGTAGGTCCCTAAAACATGATTTACTCCAATGTTAGAAATAGAGAAAAAACAGGCAGTACCATTATTCATTTGTTGTTGGTTTTACTTTTATTTTTTAAATATATTTTTATTGATTTCAGAGAGGTAGGGAGAGGGAGAGAGAGAGAGAAACATCAATGATGAGAGAGAATCATGGACTGGCTGCCTCCTGCACGCCCCACACTGGGGATTGAGCCCGCAACCCAACGTGCCCTTGACCGGAATCGAACCCAGGACCCTTTAGTCCGTAGGCCGATGCTCTACCCACTGAGCCAAACCAGCTAGGGACATTGATATTTTGTTTTAAGAGAGAGGGAAAGACAGAGAGAAACATCGATGTGAGAGCAACACATCAATAGTTTGCCTCCTGCACATGCCCCGACCAGGGCCCAGGCCAGGGAGGAGCCTGAAACCGAGGTACATGCCCTTGACCGGAATCGAACCTGGGACCCTCAGTCCGCAGGCCGACACTCTAATCACTGAGCAACACTGGCTGGGCAGCCTTGGTATTGGGAATTGGAGGTTGTGTCACTCCATGGGGTCCACATGGCAGAATCAGTGGCAGCCCCAGCCCGGAGGCACCGTCACCAGCCTCTTAGCATCTTTCCCCTCCCCAGGCCCCACCCTGCCTCCTCCTTCCCAAGAGCCTCATTGTAGACGGAGAAGCTCCCAGTGAAAAAAGGTTAAAGTCCACCCATTCAGGTGTCATCTCGTCATCTGTATAATCTGGGAGTTGCCTTTCGGAGCGGCTGCCCCCTTTGTAGAGCCTGCCTAGTTGAGATGTTTCATCCCTGACAGCCAGGCACTTAGGCTCCGAGAGAGAGAAAAAAAAATGATCACCCCGCTGCCCCCCCTTTCTCGGATTTTCCTGAACAATTAACGCCGCGCTGGACGGACCTGACCCCCCCTTTCCTCGCCGGGCTCCGTAAGGCCCGGCCCCCCCTTCGGCGAATCCCAGACATGAAGATCTCCTTTCACGCGACGGCCGCCATTCACCCGTGAAACAGTTTGGACATTATGTGGCTGTCAGGGTGCCTGGGGATTACCCAGGGTGCTTTGCCGGGGAGAAGGGGGTACCCGCGAGGCCTGGGCTTGAGATGTTTATTTGGAGAGAGTGCTGACAAGCATGAAGCCCTGATCCCACAGTGGCACTTCCATTTAATTAAGGGCCTCTTTTTATTATAGTTTTTCCTCCACTTTTTATTTATTTATATATAGAGAGATACCAGAATGATTGTTACAGCCCGGCTTGCAGGGGGTGGGGTGTTGGGGGGCAGACTGCTCACAGGGTGGTGGCTGTGAATGGGCTCATTTTTACAATCCCGCCCAGAACTGCACTTAACTTGGCATGTGCATGTGCGTGTGCGTGTGCGTGTGTGTGTGTGTGTGTGTGTGTCCGTGTTTAAACTAAAGGCAGCTGGGCTTCTGCCCGCCCCGTGTTGCCAAACTCACAGTGCGACACTTGATATGGCTGCGTGGGTCCTTGTCGTCTCTTTTCTTTGTTTTAAAGTTAGTAGCCTTGCGAGATTAGAAGACGGACATCAAAATGATCCCTGTGCCCGCCTAGTAAGGCTTGTGACACAGTATGCACGTAACAGCTTGCTTTACAGTAGCGGTTCTCAACCTGTGGGTCGCGACCCCTTGGGCGGTCAAACGACCCTTTCACAGGGGTCGCCTAAGACCATCCTGCATATCAGATATTTACATGACGATTCATCACAGTAGCAACATGACAGTTAGGAGATAGCCACGGAAATAAATTTATGGTTGGGTCACAACATGAGGAACTGTATTTAAAGGGCCAGAAGGTTGAGAACCACTGCTTTACAGGCACGTGGCATTGGGTGAAAATAGTTGGGAAAGGTATTACCTTCATTTTTCACTAGTTTTTAGTTCTGCAGCTAAATAGAAACGTGGAAAAAAATGGAGTTAAAAAGGTAACCGATTCAAGTAATTCATGATGGGTATTAACAGCTTGGCCCATGTTAATGACAGAGTAACTTCCCTAATTTTTGATCGAATACACTTAGGCTATTTACTGTGGTAAATCGGGGTCTTTGTGTACTTATTCATAGTTCTTGTTTGTTCAAATATATTTTTGTTGATTTCAGGGAGGAAGGGAGAGGGGAGAGAGAGATAGAAACTTCAGTGATGAGAGAGAATCATGGATCGGCTGCCTCCTGCACGCCCCCTGCTGGGAATCGAGCCCACAACCCGGCCACGTGCCCTTGACCGGAATCGAACCCGGGGCCCTTCAATCTTCAGGCCGACGCTCTATCCACTGAGCCAGACCGGCTTGGGCTGTTTCACAATTAATTACGATAATATAACACCAAATTCGATTTTTTTTCTTCCTTTGTAGCCATTCCAGCTGGCTGTTCGTTTAAGCCCTCTTTAGTCGTAATTCACCAGGTATTAATGCACATGTGTTCCTGTCTCTGTTACGTGTCGTAGGCATGATGGCATACTTGCATGCATGTAACCCACATGCACCACACATAACCCAGGCATAATTGGCAGGCATTTCTCACCTCCCCCACCCCCCCATTGATCTCAGAAGTGTGGACGAGGGCCCGTCATCGGCCCTCTTTTCTGCTTTGGACACCGTGGCTGGAGGGACCTTATTCATTTCTTTTGGCGTCCGATTCAAAGCTCCCCGGGAGGGGCGGGCAGGTCAGGGGTGCCGCCCCGGCCCACGGAGGGCCTGGCTGGTGTGGCGTTCAGCTGGCCGGGGTCGAACAATGCTCCCTGCTTCCCTGCAGGTGCGGGAGGCAGCAAAGAATGGCAACTTTGTCCATTTAATCTCTACCCCCCACCCCCCTCCCCCTGGTTCCAGGCTCCATCCCCTCGCCCCATCTTTTGAGCCAGGGGTCCCAGAGATTGATTGATTTATTACGATTATGTTCTGACTTACAGGGTTCTGTCGAGTCCGCCATCTGGACAAATGTTTGAAAAAACAAAACAAAACAAGAAACACCCCAAAAAGTGGTTTCTTTCCCTTTTCACTGCCTCCCTGCCCTTCTTAAAGAGAGGTGGGTTTCTCCCCAGGACTCCCAACGTCGCCAGTGGATATGATTGCGGGAGTTTTGGGGGGCAGTGTAGTGATGACATGCCCCCAATGAAACAAGACAGAAAGAGCTCAAGGAGCCCATTTATATTCCGCCACGGACGGCAGAGACAAATCCATCCTTTACCCCAAATTGTTTCGTATGTCCCTGCTCCCCACCTCTGGGCCTTCGGGGTTGCTCAGGGACAGATCTATTCTGGGGGCGCGCAGTGAAATGCTTTGAGCCCGGGGAGTGTGGAAAGAAACTTTACTTAATGGAGAGATCCCAGGCGTTCGCGTATATTTGAAAAAAAAAAACCCAAAAAACCTGTCTAGCTCGCTCTCTTTCTCTCTTAAAGGCACCAGCGATCCCTACGTGAAATTTAAGCTGAACGGGAAGACGCTGTACAAAAGTAAAGTCATATATAAGAACTTGAACCCCGTCTGGGATGAGATCGTTGTCTTGCCCATACAGAGCCTTGATCAGAAGCTCCGTGTGAAGGTAATCAATCACAGATGGCTTTCAGATCTGCTCTGGTAGGCCGATCGTTGCCCTCTTCAAAATGAGCCTCCCCAAATTCATTCTTTTATTGTTCTTAAGCGCTGGGTTAAAAATACTAGCAGGGATAGGGCTGTCTATCTGCCTCGCCGGCAACGTGTATTTCTTTCAGACCCATGAGATAATAGACTGTACAGAACATCCGCGTGGAAACCGCATCTTCACTGATTGTACTTAAACTTACCGGATGTGGAAGAATTATTACCGGCAGTTCAGGAGCGACGCGTCCTAAAGCCTCTCTCATTAGGAATAACTTTATACTTAATAGAGCTCTAAGCTCCTGGTTGTAAGCATTAATTGCTCTAACATCTGGGTGAAAACTGCCTGAGTTGAGTGCAGGAGGAGATTGCTAGAGAATATTTAGCAAATTTCTATTTAATTGGCAGACCTAACTCACCATGGAAAATACTAAATTTTAATGAGAGCCCGTTTAAGACGACGGAGAGTAGTCCATTGTGCATAACGTCTGAATGCATCTGAACACTGCCTTTTAAACGTATATTCTTCTGCTACTGTTTCGGGCAAAATGGGCAAGTTAGAATAATTTTCTCCTCTCCATCAGCTTGGCGAAATTCCTCTTGAACTGTACTATGCAAATTATTTTTAGAGCTAGAAGACTGAATGTAAAGTTCTCAGCCTATTACATGTATGAATAATCTGAGAGACGTGGCTTTACCGCATTAATGTGTGTTCCTGGCCCGCTTTTAAAGGTATATGATCGAGATTTAACTACATCTGATTTCATGGGCTCTGCGTTTGTCATCCTCAGCGAACTTGAGCTGAACAGGTATTGTACTTTTACCTTCTCATAGCTATGAATGAATTTTAGAGGGAACTCGAGATCATGTTAACTGGCATGTGCTTAGATCAAATGACAGAAAAGTCTGCATCTGTGAAAGAGGGCTGAACATGTCTTAGATGCATGATTTTTGCTTTTCAGTTCCCAAACGTACTTGTCAGATATGAAGTCCTCCATAATATATGCTACCGTGTGCATTGCATTTTTTACTCTCACTCGTTAATATTCAGGTTTCTGTTCACCTACCTGACTTGAAATTAAAACAAGTATTTACATTTTATTGGGGGTGGGGGGAGAAGGTGAGAAGCAGTTAACCAGCTGTTGAATGAGGCAATGCCACACAATTTCTCTGCCTTGAAGGCGGTTGTTTTATCTCCTGAATTTGGTGCTTTTTAAACTTGTGTCTAACCCTTATTCAGAGCTAGGAGGCTTTTACCATGGGTTTCTGATGCATTATAAGACTACACAGGACTGCCAGGAAGTGCTCACATTATTCGTTGGTTTTTTTGTTGATTTTCTATTTTTTTGCTTGTAGAACGACTGAACATATTTTAAAATTGGAAGACCCGAACAGTTTAGAAGACGACATGGGAGTGATTGTGTTAAATCTGAACCTCGTCGTGAAACAGGGTGACTTTAAGAGACATGTGAGTATCCCCATTTTGTTCTTCTTGAAATCCTCCATTGCCTTCGTCCCTGGACCACTGGGCGACCAGATGGATTGATCTTTTTTGTAATTGTTTTGAGGGGGAAACAAATAATTTAGCAGAGACTTAAAGAACTTATCTGTGGTGTGTGTATGTATGTGTATACACACACACACACACACACACACACACACACACACATACATATATATCCTCTCTTTTGGATCTCTGGAAAGAACATCAATTAAGAATTCTCATGCCCTAACCGGTTTGCTCAGTGGATAGAGCGTCGGCCTGCAGACTGAAGGGTCCCGGGTTCGATTCCGGTCAAGGGCATGTACCTTGGTTGCGGGCACATCCCCAGTAGGGAGTGTGCAGGAGGCAGCTGATCGATGTTTCTCTCTCATGATGTTTCTAACTCTCTGTCCCTCTCCCTTCCTCTCTGTAAAAAAATCAATAAAATATATTTAGAAAAAAAGAATTCTCCCTATTTGGGCTAGGGATATAGATAGCGCTGCTATGACTAAAATGTGTGTGTGGCTTTGCTCTTAGCAGATCATCTGAAATACAATTTTGCTACGTGTTCAGGTTTTTACTTACCATCTCCTTAGGTCCTAGAGAACTTGGGTATTGTTCAGTTACGAAAAGCAGTTTCCAGGATTTAATTACTGCGTTGTACATTATTAAGGCGACCAAGTATAGTATATATTTGAAGCATTTCCGTTTCTGTTTCTTTTAGCCACCAAGTTTTCTACGGAGAGTACTTTTGGGAGGATAGAGATTTTAATGTTCTGTGGTCCGTTATATAGAAATTTCCAGCTAATGCACAACCTGGTGCAGATTCCTGTAATACCAGCACAGCTTTGGGTTTTGTGATGCTGTGGCTGGGGTTCTGTCATTTTGAGCACATAGGTGAATGCAAGTAGTAATCTTATTTTATATTCAGAGCATATAACGAGACTCCAAGAATTAATATAAGAACAAAAAGCATCTTTGGTTGTCACTTTATTCAAAAGGTATTTTTGAAGCCAGCCGAAATACCTCCTCGAAAAGGGACGAAGCTGTGTGAAAATGGAGCGTGTTTCAAATCGGGCCTGTTTATACATTAGGCCTCCATTAATGCCTCTCAAATTGAGTCACTGGGGTCGGCGACAAGAGTATTCTTCATTTTGACATCATCTTCGCTTGTCGTTGTAACTTATTTTCACGATGAAAATCATGACTGATTTACTGGTGACCCGAGAAAAACAGCTTCAGGAAGCAGGAACACAGCACTGTGACTTTTCAAATGCCAGAGGGTCAGCTAAATAGTTGCTATTTTTAATTCAAAACCGTACGCGGACTTACTGGTCAATGACGGAGAAAAAAAAAAAATCCATCGATTTTTTAAAAAGTGTCAGCGTTCAGACTTGAGGCCTCTTTAACGCTGACGTTTGGATGTTGAAATGTCTTCAAGTTGCTGTTGAAAAATGAATCTATTTTTCTAGCTAACGTCACGAAGAAGGAATTTTCTGTGGCTTCTCTCAGTCTTGACAGTATTGGCACTTGAGTCAGTGTCACTGTGAGCAGAAGGCGACCAGTCACTTGAGCTGGATGCCGGGTTCAGATACATGAATGTGAGCCAGCATCGTTTGCCACGTGGGTGAGCAATTGCTAGCTGATATGTTCCAATAATTTCTTACATGTGTATGTGGGGTGTTGGTAAAGTTGGATAATTTCCCCATGAAAACACTTGCATATTTAAGCAGCATACTAGCTGCATACTTATTCCCCTTGTAAATTTTCCTGTGACAGATTAGATTATGTTTAGCAGTGACGCTGACCCTTAAAATATATTTAAATATTGCCAAAGTTTGGAGTTCGAAAGTAATGCTACCTTAGTTAAAAATTTTATTTCAATAAGGACACATTTGTAATACCTTAACTAATAAAGAATTAAAAAAAATTATTTCAAATGGCAGAGATATTAATATTCAGTACAGCTTGAGTTTTTGTAGTTGTTGTTTTTTATATAAAGCATCTCAAGGAATATCTTTTCAGAGTCCTAAAAGTAGCCACAGTTGTCATGTTATTTGGTTTGGCTCTCCAATTTTTTTTTTTAATTATATTTTTATTGATTTCAGAGAGGAAGGGAGAGGGGGAGAGAGAGAGAGACATCAGTGATGAGAGAGAATCACTGTTCGGCTGCCTCCTGCACGCCCCACACTGGGGATGGAGCCCGCCACCCGGGCCTGTGCCCTGACCAGGAATCGAACCGTGACCTCCTGGTTCATAGGTCGACGCTCAACCACTGAGCCACACTGGCCGGGCCCCGCCTGCTGTTTTTGAGAAATTTTCAGGCTGGATATGTGCTCGCTCATGTACTTTTCTCATTTTCTTTGTTCTTTGCTTGCCTGGCAGAGGTCTAGTGTGCAAAATACTTATTTTGTGTATGTTTTATGCGGGCATTATAACGCAGGGAAAAAACCCTGCCTGCTCTCGTTCGTTCCAAATGGTAGTTTTATTTTTCTGTTTCTGTACTTGACCAAAGTGTACCCCTGCAAGGAACAATTTATCCCGGGCTGTGGGTAGTTAATTATTCGACTCAAAGTGCCTATCAGGGACCTTTAGGGTATAAAAGGAAATGTCTGAGGATTTTTTTTTTTAAATAAAATATACTCAATAAATATTTATTGAACAAATTGATAGGGAAGCTCTGACAATTTTACATAGTTTTACTGATTTTTGAGTCAGATGTTTCTGAATTTCCTTAGTCAATTCTTCTAGCTCAATCTGTCACCAATGGTACGTTGTTTATTGGGGCTCCTCTTTGTCTCCAGTAAACAATTTCAACCCATATTTCAAAGATGTGGATGTTTTTGATGAATGATGACTCTACACATGGTCCATGAACCTAGGGAGGTATTTTCATGGAGTGTTTTCCCTTTTGAGGATTTTTTAAAATTGAGTTAAGTTACTAAAGTTTTATATTAGGTTTTTTAAATGGGAGTCATAACACGAAACTGGGAAGACAGTGATTTATTGATAGGGAATATTTTGTTTATAAATTCAATTTTTTTTAAAAGTCTGATGGAGAGATTTCAGTTTGAATTCTCAGTGTTGAACCCATATTTCTTACCGTCATCATTGAGGCAATCGCTGTTGCTCTAGAACCAAGCTGACAAAAACCTTAACCTGTGCAAAATGTCTATGAATTGACCCTTAGGCATGGATTGCTGTGTATGTGGGCAGAGCACAGTGAGAAGGTAAGGCAGTGAATGGCTGGAAAGCTGACCAACCTGGTATCTCTTTTTCTTGGCAAAAATAGGATTGGAGTTAGAAACACAGCCTCTGTCATCCGACTCCCTGGGTTTGAATCCCGGCTCCCACATTTTCGAGTTTTGAGAATGAAGCGAGCAGGTCAAATTCACAGACTAACCCAACGCCTCTCAGCGACAATTTCCTCATGAGTGAAATGGGGATTAAAAAAAAAAAGGTTATTTTACAAATTTGCGAAGATTGAGATGATCAGATGCAGAGTTTGGAATGGGGTGGGCACTCTATATATGGTAGCTTTCGTATTGTAGTAAGCAGACAGTAACAGTCATTCTGCACTTACATCCATATCCATTTTATGGTCATTATAGAGATCAAAAGAATCATACGTCAAAAGGCCCTAAATAGCCTTGTGTACCTTTAAGATGGTAATTAATTTTGATGTGTGTTTGGGTTGAAATACATGTCATTGTGTTACTGGGATAATACGAAAAAGAATTGATTTTAGCACCCAGGTTGTAGTATCTACAACTCCATGTCATGTGCTTCATGCTGAACTCAAAGTTGCACCAGCAGAAGTGTTTTAAAATAAAGAATATTTTCAAGTCACTTCCGTATCCACGTTTCTAGTTGCTGGTCACTAGAATATAAGTGGATTTCCCCCAAAGACTATATATTGCCTGGTTTATAATTTACTGGGAAGATGTATGGGTGACATGGACAGGTCATTTGCCTAAAGGTGTTTTTTCCTTAAGCAATAATAATCAATGTGGGCTGCTCCATTAGGCTCATAATTGAGTTGTAATCTCCCAAATTTATCTGAGTTTGAACATCCAGTTAGGTGTCTAACCAGCCACAGTCCTGGGCAGTGATGGAGGGAACGAGAGGATTTTGCTAGGAGAGAATTTTAACTGTCTACGCAATCCAGCAGCCTTAGTTTTAGCAGGACCCACGAGAGCGCCAAACAGACCGGTGGAGAAATTCCTTGCTGTTCAGAAATTTTTTCTTCTCTCCCTCAGAGCTGTGTTAGCCGATTTTTCTTCATTGTGTAGGAATGACTCCATTTTTTTTTTTATTTTTTAAATTGAGACTTAATCCGTGGAGGGAAATGGAATTATTTTTCTAGTACCTAAAACTCTGGAAACCTAAACATGAACGCACATTGTCCCTGAATTTCTTTAAATATTTTTGTAACCTCACCTGAATATTTCAAGTAGGAGAACTCTGCCTTTTCGAGGTGAAATTGTACTGTTTTCAGGCGTTGCAGAACATACGCGTAAATGGACTTGTACGGACCGAGCACGATTTCTATGACCTTGGGCGTTCCTTGTTGAAAGTACTGTGAACAAATGGTGTAACGGCCACAGATACGTGATTTCTCTCTGTTTCTAACCGTTTCCTTGCTCACACGTGCTTTCTCTGTAACCTCAGACAAAGGTGGAATGTCCGTCATTCCCATGTCATCTTTACCATTATTCTAGCTAGTAGAATGCTATCTTTATGTGGCTAACGGTTCTGTTTCTCTCTTTCCTTTTGCCCTCCTTCACCATTCAATGGACGCCATCCTCAGCGTTGGTCGAATCGCAAGCGGATAAGTGGAAGCAAGGTAAATACCACTGTGTTTTTTTGTTTTTTGTTTAATGTGTTATTTACATCCTTGGGTTAGGAGTTCACCTTCATTACAAACACAAGCGCGCACGTGAGTCATACCGCCGACCCCTCCCAGGGAGCGGGTTCTGTTCCTCTCCCTGCTGTTCAGCCGGAGGACACAACCTCCCTTTTAAAATTTCACTCAATCAGGGCACGGCCAGATGTTGGAACTCACGCCCCCTTGCTCTGGTGGTGACATTTTATATGTCCCGGCCACGCTGGAACGTTCCACTTCATTAAGTTTAGATTATTCGGGGTGTCGCGCAGCGAGATGGAGTCTTTTAGGAAGTTATTTACCGTTAGGTAGAGATTAGCTTTGGTGTTACAGGGACAAAGAAAATATAAATTAAAAGGATTTTACGTGTTTTATAACTTCTGGGGGGGAAAAAAACAACACCACCACTTATTGCTTTTTTGGTGAGATTCTTTAGGTATTTCTTAATACCAATACTGGTGATTTTTTTTACATGGTTAGTTTATACTTAAGCAGTTATGTCCACGGCTGTCCAATGTGTGAAAAAGTGTCGGTACCGAGGTAGAAATGCATTCTGAGTTATCAGGTTATGAAATTAGCACCTTGCAACTTAAGTGACTGCATGCCTAAATGAGTGTGAAACGAAACCAACAAGACATTTTTAAAAATTAAAACTTCATTTAGCAGCCGGGCTGCTTTGTTAAAGAGAAATAACCCACATGGGGATGGCGGTGGTTTATGTGTGCGTGGGGGGGGGGGGGCGTGGGGGGGGGTGTCAGTTACTTATATGCATTTATTTACGCAAACACCTGCACAAATACATATGCCAGCTCTGATTTCTGACCTCACTGTGTTTCAGCCGCTTCCTCCTGTGTAAAATAAGGAGAATGAGACAAAGGCTTTGTGAATTTATAAGAGAGAGAGAGCGAGAGAGTGAGTGTGTGTGTGTGTGTGTGTGAGAGAGAGAGAGAGAGAGAGAGAGAGAGAGAGAGAGAGCGACGGAGAGATTTGTAACCTGACCAGCCCTAGTCATTTAGGAAGACAGGCACACTTTACAAACCTTGCCTTTTAAAATTCACAAGATCCCTAGCTGGTTTGGCTCAGTGGATAGAGCATCGGCCTGCAGACGGAAGGGTCCCGGGTTCGATTGCGGTCAAGGGCACCTGCCCGGGTTGCGGGCTCCATCCCCACTAGGGGGCGTGCAGTCGGCAGCCGATCCATGATTCTCTCTCCTTGATGTCTGTCTCTCTCTCTCCCTTCCTCTCTGAAATCAATACAAATATATTTTAAAAAATCAATAAAATAAAATTCAAAGGCATCCCAGGTCCCGATGCTTCCTAAAGCATATCCCCTTTGCATGTTGAGCCCTTTAAGAAAGAACCATGATAAGGTGTGTTGTCCCCCTGCCAGTTCCCTCGGTGCCCAAGCCTCCGGCTCCCTGTTCGAAACGAAGGGCCAATAAATAATGTGAAAGCGTCTCAGAACTCCCTCCACGCTCTTGTCTTTTCCCTTTATAGTCACTAGAGGGGAGAAGAACTTCGCTTCTGGCCGCAGGAGGCAGGCCGGCCCTGGCGCTCCCACATTGAAGAGTTTGCTGTAACCCTCCCAGGCAGTAAAAGTTCCCGGCATGCCCCGGCGAAGCCTGACAAAGCAGTATTTTCTCAGTTTATTGATTCTGTGCCGCACTAAAACACGGGCCTGGACATCAATAACCATGTGTAGTTAGGGAGCCCCGGCCTGCGGACCAGCCCGGGCAGTTTGTGGGAGAACATAAAGGCTGGGAAGAGCAATTGTGAGCCTGGGGAATAGTGTAGCTGGGGAGGACAGGAGAGGTTATGGAAGAATGGGCCCAGCAAGGAAGGAGGAGAGAGAAAATGTTGACGGCCCGGATAAAGATATCAAATATATGGGAGCCACACAGGGGCCCGGAGAGCAGTATTTATTTCCCGGCTCCAGAGCTGTGTTCTCACACTGAGCTGTTGTCTGTTTTTGTTTGTTTGTGTTTTTTTGGTGTTTTTTTTTTCCGTCCCTTCCATGATAGTATCTAGAATTTGGACTTTAGTGCCCTGGGCTCAGGGCCATTGTAAATGTCCAGAGCGCGTAGCTGTGTTTCATAAAACCTCAGAGGCACACAGCCCTCGGCAAGCTGCTTATGATCTTTAGTTGAGATGCAGTTGATCTAGGATTGGCGACGAATTGCAACTGGCCGGTTGATTCTTGACGACTCGGCCTGTGCCGTTTGGAGAGGCGAATGCGACGGGCTTCTCATTTGGCTCATGAAAATGAGTCCCTGGGAAAGTCTAGAGATGCTGTGATGATTCCTCTGTAAGAGTTGTTGGAATACCCGGATGAGCCCCGGCCGGTGTGGCCAAGTGGATAGGGCATCGGCCTGCAGACGGAAGGGTCCCGGGTTTGATTCCGGTCAAGGGCAGGCTCGATCCCCAGCCGGTGCAGGAGGCAACCAATCGATGTTTCTCTCTCTTTTGTCTCTCCCTTCCCTTCCATTCTTTCTAAAAATCAATGGAAAAAATATCCTCAGGTGAGGATTAAAAAGAAAAGAAAAAAAAACACGTACCCTGATGAACCTTTCTTGGTATTTTTAAACTACAGAGGTTGGCAAAAGTAGGGTTACGGTTGCGAGTATATGAAACAGAATGTATCCTTGTATTATTACTTATTTTTTAAAAAATATATTTTATTGATTTTTTACAGAGAGGAAGGGAGAGGGATAGAGAGTTAGAAACATCGATGAGAGAGAAACATCGATCAGCTGCCTCCTGCACACCCCCTACTGGGGATGTGCCCGCAACCCAGGTACATGCCCTTGACCAGAATCAAACCTGGGACCCTTCAGCCCGCAGGCCGACGCTCTATCCACTGAGCCAAACCGGTTAGGGTTCCTTTTGAATATTGGCTACATATAATCTTCGCTGTGAATCCATCTGTTTCTAAACCTTGCTTCTCTCTTTGTAATGTGTGCAACAGTTATAGAGATAAAAAAGTGAACAGCAGTCACTTCTTTTACAGCAAGAGTTTAATGGGAAAAAAGCAATAATGGAATGGATGAATTACTGAGTGTATTCAGAAATCTGCGCGCACGTACACACACACACACACACACACACACACACACACCTGCCTGCTATCATTTGAGGTATTTGAGTCTGTACAGGTACGATGGCCGAGTACAGCACCCCTTTAGTTACGCGTTCCCTTTACTTTCGGTTAATTCGCACCGAGATAAGTGTATATTCTTTCCTAGCCCCTCTTTCGACCCACACCCTTTCATGCAGTCATATGTCAGCGATCCCAAGGTAAGAGCTGTGCCCCGTCCTGGTCTAACATTTTTCTGTATGAAATTAGTTGACTAGCGGTGTCCACGTTTGCCCTGTTTGACTTCACATCCTTTTATCTCTGTTCCTCTGTTATTTCAGAGGCTGATCTCCGCAGATAGGGTTTCCCGGGACTCTGTCAGCTGGCCTCCAGCTGGCTGTGTGCAGTGGGAGGAATCGGCAGGATCCTAGGGTGGGAGAGGGGGAGGTCAGGTGTGTCTACGTTTTGCATCTCCCATTAGCCAGACCAGCTGGTTTTCAGCTTCAGCCGGGAGACCCTGAACCTAGTATTTACTCTTTTTTTTTGGTCTCTGGGGCCCAAGGGGATTAGAATGTCAGCTTGCGGGCCAAACTCAGCCCTGTGTCTGTTTTCCCAAGTAACAGCTGTATTGGACCACAGCTGCGCACATTGATGTATAAACCATCTCAAGCACCTGGCCAGTGTGGCTCAGTGGTTGAACATCGACCTATGAACCAGGAGGTCACGGTTCGATTCTGGTCAAGGGCACATACCCGGGTTGCGGGCTCAATCCCCAGTAGGGGGCACACGGGAGGCAGGCGATCCATGATTCCCTCTCATCATGGATGTTTCTCTTTCTCTCTCCCTCTCCCTTCCTCTTTGAAATCAATAAAAAAAACATATATATTCAACCGTCTGGGGCTGACAGTGGCCGTGTGGAGTCTTTGGGACAGAGACCTAGTGGCCGACAAGCCTAAATGCTGACTGTCCGGACCATCACAGGAAAAGGCCACCGCCCCTGGCCCAGCTGAGGAGTCGTAGACGCTCCCTACTGTGCTTCCCCAAGGTTTTCTGATTTCTGTTTGGCTTCTCAGCCTCTCCTTCAGCTGTGAAAACAGTGCTCTCTGTTGTGTGCCCTCCGTGTTCAATACCAGAAATAGTTTTCTTTTCCTGTTGGATCCCAGTACAAATTAGAGGGGCCAAGCCCTAGCTTCCGGCATTTTTCTTTTTTTTTAAATTGATTTCAGAGAGGAAGGGAGAGGGAGAGAGAGAGAGAAACATCAGTGATGAGAGAGAATCATCGATCAGCTGCCTCCTGCACGCCCCCTACTGGGGATGTGCCCGCAACCCAGGTACATGCCCTTGACCGGAATCGAACCTGGGACCTTTCAGTCCGCAGGCCGACGCTCTATCCACTGAGCCAAACCGGTTTCGGCGTAATTTTTATTTTTAAGTGTGACAATTGAGCGATGATATTCCCTCATACTTAAACAAAATAGTCAACTGAATATCCAACTTTCAGAGCTAATATTTTTTGTACATACAGACTGCTCCTACCCTTGGGGCTGTGTTAGCGTTTTCATCTGCAGATATAAATCTCATCTCCTGTCCATGTCCATGTGGGGGATTTAAAAGGCTTTCTTCATATTCTTACACAGATTTGTGTGTAGCTCTAGGTGGATTTATGCCTACAGGATCCTCTTCAGATGATATAAGGGACTGTGGGTAGGCGGTGTTCTGCTCGCATGTATGGCTCTCCTCATGTCACGCTATAAAAGCTGTTGACAATGAGCAGTAGTTTTACACGACAGAAATATTTCAGGGAAATCTTTTAGACACCCAGGGTTCTTACCGTTTCTAAATAGTGCCGACATAGCCGCAATCTTGCTTTCCTGTCGTTTTACTTACAA